GATACGCAAGCCTTTATAAGACGAGTAAATAGATCATCAGGGGAATGAACGTGGCGTCAGGGACAGCTGAAAGGGGTCGTTCTGTGTCTGAAGTATTTTAGTTTGATAAAGAAGTTGCAGTTGATGGTTGCGGACATGGTGGGAGAAGTAGTAGACGTGACGGAGGGATTGAGTGTCGAAGAGTAGGAGAAAGGAGACCATAGGGTTCGTCCGGTGGACTTTCCGGGATATCAGATTTGAGGCGGTCCACGTTCGCGATCTCTTCGTGAGGGCTACATTCTATGTATAATATTTTCGTCCCTCAAGTAATCGTACGGTAAGTTTTTGAATTTCGCTGTCAACATTTTCATCTTACGCACGGCTCTCGTCTACTTACGCGCTTTATGTAAGGTACTGCGGACCAGATACTCACTAAAAATTCTGAAAGTAATCACGTCATCGAGCTCCCCTTCACGAGATCTCTGAGTAAACATGACTCCAACCCAGAAAAGCTGCTTACTCCAATAGGATATAGATAGGGAAATTATATAAATCCATGAATGTAGAAGAAGCTTCTTGGAATACACCATTTCTGGTATTGGCCATTTGGATTTGCTGTTTAAAAACGATAAAATTTAATTCCGTCCCCAAAAGCTTCTAATGGTATGAGCGAAATTGAACGATACTACCTATGGACCTCCCAAGGTATCAGGGACGGCTGGAATCAATTTAGCCTTTCCATTGAACGAAACCACCTCTAGGAGTTAACTGGAAGTTTTCCTGATGGTGGATTAAGGGGGACACTTTGGTTGGGGATTTCATTTTCCGGTTACCCATGTGAAACGAGTTTTGGGATAATTATCCCTAGTTGAGTGTTTTTATGGCCAATATGACTTATTTGTATACTCTCAAGTGCAGTATAGACCGATGCAAGTTCTTTCTATGCACGTCCGCTGCAGTCTACAGCAGTTCTTATGAGAGCTTCTCTGTTTATTCGTTACATCCACTAACAAACGTTTTCCTAAGCAGAATGGCTTGGATTTGTACTCGGGTCGCTTGACTGCAGATAGAGCGAAACAGGCGCCTACACGGCTTCAGCTAGGTAGCTGCCGAGTGTGCATTCCCCACCAGGGTGTCATGATTCTGTTCGCATTCCTGTCAC